GGTTCCTTTCCAGCTGATGTTGTACGAGGCTACCCGTGACTCTGCCTACAAAGCGGAAGTGGAGGGTTTCTTCAAGGGCTGGCTCCCTGGTGGCTCCATCACCTACACTCCATGTGGACAGGCGTGGAGAGACCAGTGGGGCTCCAACAGATATGCAGGTCAGTGGAACAGATGCAACATATTTCATTTTGAAACAAACAGGGGTCCAAACATGATGACGAGCAACTATCTGTTAAGAGGATCGTGCAAATGCAAGTCGTTATAGTTGATCATTTAAAAATGAAATCACCAAATACATTGCTGTTCACTGATATATGACGGTAAACTGTTCATCGACAGTACATAATATGATAATTGAGTAATATCAGCACCTGTTTATGCTCTCAGGTGATGCAGCATTCGTCGCTCTGATGGCTGCTGATGCTGGTCTTGACACTGCAATCTACAGAAAGTGGGCAGTTGAGCAGATCAACTACATCCTCGGGGACAACAACTACGGCATCAGCTACCAGATCGGCTTCGGCTCCAAATACCCCAAGAGTCCTCATCACAGATCCGCGTGTGTTAACTTTAGAATAATTTCATCTATTATCCGTCATTAACATCCTAAGTCACCACACAACCATTTAATAACGGTAAGGTGGCAAACAAGCGAAATGTAAAGAAATTGGAAATCTGAAGCCAGATATTGAAACTGAGTATATCAATGCCTATGATTCTGTAGAACACGGCTCGCGCCCTGTATAGTACAACAAACCATTGATTCCGCGTCAAGACGGCCAGTGCTGTGCCTAATTCATATTTTGAAAGATTCTGAAACCAATGACATTTAGCAGCTATTTGATGTCCCTGTATTACTCTCTATATGTGTTTGTCCCACCTTCAGCTCCTGCCCCGACCGTCCAGCTCCCTGCACAGAGGCCAACCTACACTCTTCCGGTCCCAGCCCCCAGCTCCTTGTGGGCGCCATAGTGGGAGGCCCTGGTAATGATGACTCCTACAAGGACGACAGGGAGGACTACGTCCACAACGAGGTGGCCTGCGACTACAACTCAGGCTTCCAGTCTGCTCTGGCTGGTAAGTCTCAGGTGTTTTGTGTAGCCAGAGTTCCTAAACATCATGAAAGTGCAATTTGTCCACTTTGTCCACTATTTTCGTGTTATGTTCTAGTAAATATGGCAATAACTGCAATCGGTAGCTTTAAACATATTTTATTGTCCGAGAGACAAACGGATTGGGTACAAATGCACCACTTACGGTCGACTACTCCCCATGTCGAGGTTTCATGGTTTGTTCTGGTAATTTATGAAAATTTACTTAATTATTAGAAACAGTCATTACGTTTATTTACGCATTTATTTGATTAGTGCGTGTTTGATTGTTACTTTATACACATGGATTGTTGATTGCCTGTTAAATATCCTAGCTTCTGTGAAATCCCCTTGATGCTTAGTGTAGCTTTATAAAATGCATAGCTAATGATTGTAAACTGATGGTTCACCCAGACGGACAACTAAAGGAAACTTTCTGTTCCAGGTCTTACTCATCTTGTCGCCAAGAAGGAGTTGCCTGATGTTGGTAAACCAAAATGCCACGGGTAAATACTATATATTGCAATTTGTCACCATTAGTCAAAATAAGAGGTAATGTTATCGTAGATTTGTTTTAAGTACGAGTATGGAGTGATAGGATGACTGTATTGTTAAATGACTCAGAGTGGCTGCAATACTGATGTTACTAGGGAGATGATGATTACATTGATGTCTAACTGAATTACCATGCTGATTTTACTATTTCATTTAGGGGCGGTGGGGTAGCCAGTGGTTAAAGCGTTCGCTCCTCACGCCGACGACCCGGGTTCTACTTCCCACATGGGTACAATATGTGAAGCCCATTTCAGGTGTTCCCCCTCCGTGATATTGCTGGAATATTTAAAAGCGGTGTCAAACTAAAACTCACTCACTACTATTTCATTCGTGTGACTCATATTCATGATAGTGTTATCGACTCGATAGAGCAATCACAATCTAATAATTCTGAAATTGAGGTCACTTAGGAGATATTACTTCTAATAAGGTCTATTCTTGGGTACTTGTTGAAATAATGCAGCATGACATTCGAAACATATTAGGTGTGTATGTTTTTTGCATAAGCAAACATGCCTTCATTAAAAAAAGTATTATCGCGGGAAACCAGATGTGATAGTTCACCCGGACATGATGTTCCTGCAGCTGTACTCATATTCATTTAAACAATGTATTTTTAGAAATTATCTTCTAAAATTCGGCCTGTGATGATCCGGCTTAGAATTGATCTTCAGAAACCCATGCTTGTCGTAAAAGGCGACTAACGCGATCGGGTGGTCAGGCTCGCTGACTTGGTTGACACATGTCATCGGTTCCCAATTGCGCAGATCGATGCTCATGCTGTTGATCACTGGAGTGTCTTGTCCAGACTCGATTATTAACAGACCGCCGCCATATAGCTGAATATTGCTTAAACTAACCTCACTCACTTATGCTTAAGAATATTATATTATTTGACAAACAATATCTTCGTTTTCGTTTTTCAGGTCTTGAACATGGGAATAAAGATGAGGAATTTTAACCAAGTAACACAATAACAGTCAATAAAATTTACTTTTTTATATCTACTGTCTTTCTTTGTCGTTTGATATTTGGAACGTATAGTATTCCCAGAGAATATTGTGGAAGTTGTTTCGGCAAATATCTAATACATGTAGAAATACATGTAAAACATCTAATACTATTGAAATTTTACTTAAATGAATATGTTGAGATATGATTCTCTTATACAGTTTAAGTGTCTTTTCAGCACTTTGTGAGACCTCTTGCCCTGTAATACAAAACTGAATGCGCCTAGGTACACTACCGATCAAAGTGTGTAGGAAATCATGTGACAGCGTATCCCAATATTAGAGTACTTCGTTCTTCATATCCTCAATATGTCTAAGTACCGTTTTGGTTTATTCTGTCCTTCATTAGTCCCCACACATTCTCAATAGGGTTAAGATCTGGGCTGTAGCAGGGCCAGTCTAAAACTTGAACATTTTCTTCCGACAAACACTGTTTGGTGTAGCCCGCAGTGTGTCTTGGGTCGTTATCATGCTGAAAAATCCAATTATCTTCATATAATGTTAGGGCCGTTGGAAGGAGGTGATCATTTAAGATGTCAACATATTATCGTTCCTTCGTCAAATTTCAGTGAAAATACACAACGGCGTCACTTAACGTGATGATAGCCCACTCCACATGTGAAATGTCGGGCTATGTTGTGGGTGTTGGTAGGCAGGTGTCACGGTATGTTTTGTCAAATTTTTCACACAGTCCGCAAAACGGCAGGCAGAACTATCATCAGAAAAAACCAACATTGTCCCAATGATGATTTTCGTGAGCCCAATACCAGTTTAAACGTCTTTCTTTTTGTGCATCTTTCATCAATGGTGAGGGAATTCCGCGCTTTGCCACCCAGTTTATTCTTTGTAATCCTGATCTAGGGTCTTCATTACATACCTGCGGACATTACATTACCTCTAGTAATCATCTCATTTCTGATATTGTCATCATTTTTCAATTTTCACCGACTCACAATCTGACCGAGTCACCGGCGATTCGTAGTATTGAACTTCCTTGACCTCCCTGTCCCTGTCTTGTGCTCAGTCTCAACTGAATATCCTTCAAAGTTCTGTATAGTGTAGTCAGATGAATGTCATGTCTACCAGCTAACTCTTTACATTAGTCACACCCCTTTCAAAATCATCTAGAATCAGCTTTCTTTACTCTTCTGTTGACAAATCTGCCAACAAAGGAAGCCATTGCTACACCAAGCCCTGCTACACCAGGGAGATAACTCTTAATGTAGTAAGGTTCATTCTTAAGCCTACAAGAGTTGCCTCCCATATTGAGTACCTTACCACAGTCCGTTTGGCTCAAAAGCGGACCGATGAATTGCAATCTAACTCGAAAACTGTAACATAACATACTCAATGAAACCCTGATCATAATCAAAACATATTTTATGTTTATTAGTTTTAGAGTTAGATTGCAATTCATCGGTCCGCGTTTGGGCCAAACGGACTATACATAACGTAACATCTATAATAAAATAAAATTCGATTATCAGTATTAAGAAACAAAGATTTTCGCAATAAATTCTTGGAAAACTGTAAAACAGACATCATATGTGTCAATACGGATATTTCATTGTAGGTATGTGTGAACTATCCTATACATACAACCTATGGGCGTTTGTACATCCAGGTCCAGTTCTAGGTGTTTGTACACCCAGGTAAAATGAACTATGTAAAATTGTACGATTGAACGTTTTAATATGATGCATGTGTAATATTTGAGAGTGACAAGACGTCTGACTTTGGAGCAGTGGTTGAATATATAACGTCTCCATACATGGTCCCTTTTGGCCCCTTAGATGCACCATTAGACAATATTGACAGAATGTAGTCACATAGTTCTAATGTTTAAGCTCTTTATGAGTTTAAGGACAAGGACAAGTGCACACATATTTTTCCTGACCTAACTGTTTCGGGACACTGTGATTACATGACCTGTGGCGACATCGAGAACCTTCGTATGGATGACACGTGGTTCATCTCACGGCCTCGAGATTAAACATGACATTGCACATATACTTGTTCTGTAGCCAGAATAGTACCAGAATATGCTTCAATTACAGCCTTTATGTAAAATAATCTGCCTTGCCATGAATAATAAATATATAGTCCGGCTCCATGTTGAATAAACTAAGATCTGAAGATGCAGGTCTCGCAAGCACGCTGAATATCAGCCGTATTCCCTAGTTGTCCAGTACAAATGTCTAGAACCATCACAGACAAAGCTCTCAATGCGAGAAAACCACATGTTATTGCTGTGACTATATCAACATCTACATCAAGATCTTGACACCTGGATATTTGCCATGTCAATTCAATACCAACGGTTGTTCTCATTTGACTGGCCGCGTGCACATGTAACCGGCATGGGTCGGACGATTTAGATAGGCTTATAAGGTATAAGGTCAAGGTCTGGGATCCAAAGACAAAATAGTGTATGACTTGTAGGACACATGTCACTTGACATCGGAACATAGGAAGGTAAGGACATATATGTTTTATTCATACATTTAACATTATCTGTAGACGGTAAAAATGTCAAGCCATCTGCATTGAAATATTATATTATATTAAAAATAGAAAGAAACTATAATGCATAGTTTTCTGAAGGATATTTTTTAACAATTTCCAGATAAGTAGTCAGTGGGTATTTTGCCAGCTGTACAGCAGAAACACACACACAAAAAGATGAAATTCAGCGAATATTCCGAGGGGAATCGAACCCGGACTTTCGGCGTGGCACATGGAACTGGACCCACATTCATTACTCCCAGTATATAGTTAAAATCTTATACCTATGTCATTAAAACACGTCTCTTGTCTGGTCCAGTTAGTGGCGTCATGTTCAAAACAGAACGGAGATAAAGCCTAATGTATTCTCCATGTACAAGAACTACATTGTACATTGTGCCATATGGTAGTACCTCTGAGACATTATTCACCATCGACACTGAACATGATTGGTTGGTTTGTTGTTTAACACCGCACTCAGAAATATTCCAGCTATATGACGTCGGTCTGTAAATAATCGAGTCTGAACCAGGCAATCCAGTGATCAATAGCATGAGCATCTATTTACGAAATTGGGATACGATGACATGTGTCAACCAAGTCAGCAAGCCTGAACAACTGTTCCCGTTAGTCGCCTTTTACGACAAGCATGGGTTGCTGAAGACCAATTCTAGTCCGGATCTTCACGGGTATCACTGAACATGACCTGCAAGCTTATAGACGTAGACCATGTTTTGCCTTATACCTCTGTTGAAACGACATGCGAACAATGCGCTTTTAATACCGAGGTTTGTGTCAACCCATACAAACAAATACCGGAATATAATATGCACACCCTGTGTACGTACTTAAGAGGTGAGGTGAGGTGAGGTGAGGTGAGGTGAGGTGAGGTGAGGTGAAATTGGGTTTAACGTCGTGCTTGAGAATATTTCGCTCATATGACGACGTGCATGCGTGTGTATGTGTAAGTGCGGCTGCTTGTACTATCCCAGACTGGAAGCTGGTTTTATAGTGCTAGCCCACTGAGATACAATGCCGCAGTTAAGCATGAATACCCCACTTAGACACATTACACGGACTCCGAGCCGACCAGTCCTTGTTGTACCCATTAATGCCGAACGCCAGGCAGGGACCAACAAGTACCATATTTTAACGTCTTTTGGTATGACGCGGTCGGGGATACGTACTTAAGAAGTAGTTATGATATGCGGCAACATATCTAAGAATGTATAACACACTATCTGCTTGAGGTTTAGTTTTTTTGTCATTTTCGACCAGTAGCAAAGCAATATGCATGCTTAAAGGCACTAGTGAGTGTTGTTACGCCGCCCTTTAGCAATATACCAGCAATATCACGGCAGCACCGGAATTGACCTCCATACATGTTGATGTTGGTGTATTTCCTTTCAGTCACGATGAACGTATTCCTCGTGGCGGCTGTCCTGGCGGTGGGGTCGGCGGTGGACGTCCCCCTCAACAACCACTGGAACGGAGGCTTCCAGGCAAAGGCCTGCATTGGTATCACAAAGGAACTGCACTCTTGGACAGCACATCTTCGTTTTGACCAAGCCGTCGACAGCCTTGACGTAAATAACTCGTTGTTGGAACTGAATATACAAATATATATCCCACCTTCCCAGTTATTTACAAAGTAATACGTTTTCGCTGGCGTTAACAATGTGGAAAATATGTTCAAAGATATTGAACGCATATGCATAATACAGAATGGCGTAACGTTTCGTTAAACTTCTGGATGCGATACGCGAAACATTCACAGGGTAGTTTGCACTGATACATCATGATACACTGTACATAATATAGTCAACAAATTTTACGAGATGCCATTTAGAAAGTGGCCAAATGTAACATATGTTATGTTTGGGATTACAAGTACAGATTCTAGTACTTTTGTTGGTTTGAGTCCCGGTGCCTGACTCTGAGGGTGTGGGTTCGAGTCCCGGGTGGGATTCCACCCAACAAAGGTACTAGAATCTGTACTTTAATCAGAAAGTGTAATCCCAAATATAACATATGTTAAATTTTTACGTGGTTCTTATCCTGTCATTTGCAATGTGATCGGCCCAGCAGAAGAACATACTAGAAAATGTACCTACAATCTGCCTGATTAAGGAGTGGACCCTGAGTCTGAGCTTTAGTTTCGCTAGTTACCATAGCGTCCATTATACGCTGGACTATCTGTCATATTTTTTCTAACTTGACAGATATGGACGGCGGATGCTAAAAAGGCAGATGGGGGGAAGGAGTACGTGTTGACCAACAAAGCATGGAACGCTGACGAGCATGTCGGGGACCAACTATGTCTTGACTTCGTGGCTCACACAACGGGTGATATCACCCCCAAAACAACCTTGGAAATTGAAGGAATGGGAGGTGGTGTTGCGCCAACATCCGGCTCAGTAACCCAGGGCAACGGGCCCACGAAGCCTCACCAAGTAGCCACGATTCCACCAATCCCACATACAGGTCAGTGACTTATTATAATCAAAGTAAGTTCGGGATCATTGCATTCATTACTTTTCCCCTGGTGTGTTTGGCATCATGTGCTCGGTCTACAAATAATCCCCTTAAAACATTCACGATCCCTAAGATTTTGCGGCAAATGTAAAATCAAGCTACTTCTGTACTAGGTCCTTGTCGCCCTCGAAAACGGTGCGGGGTAGATCCCCAATTAATCCGCCTAAAAGATAGGTCTATCTACCAACATCGTGCAGTGGAACTGTAGAGGACTCCGGACAAATTAGCCTATAGTTATTTTTCCCTCCAGGTGATAGAGCCACTGGAGGTTCTACTATCCTTATACGACAGGATGTAATTCACAGCCCTGTTACTCTTAACACTAATCTCCAAGCTCTTGCAGTGCGACTTACTCTGGGTGTAGCATTTACATTTGTGCTCTCTGTATATCCCACCTTCATCGACACTTCAGCTGACTGATCTTCAATCACTGTACGATCAACTCCCAAAGCCATGTGTTATCATGGGTGACCTCAACGGTCACAACCCACTCTGGGGCAGTACTACCACTAATACTAAAGGTAAAATAATTGAAGACTTCATTTCCAATAATGACCTGTGCATATTTAATGATGATTCAAGCACCTATCTTCATCCTGCAACTGGCACTTATTCTTCTTTAGATTTATCTCTTGCAGATTCACACCTCCTGAATGAATTTGATTGGTCTGTTCATAATGACCTTTGTGGAAGTGACCACTTCCCAACTATACTTTCAGAAATAACTCCATCTGATTCTCCATCGTATACAAGATGGAACTTTTCGAAGGCTAACTGGTCTTTATATCAAACTTTATGTCAATCTAAATTACGACCTGAATGTTTCAGTGATATAACTGATCCCATTCAAACCTTTTCTGATGTTTTAAATGAAATAGCTGATGAGTCTATACCCAAGTCCTCTACGACTCCACATGTACGAAAACCATGGTTTAATACTGATTGTAGACAAGCCAGAAAAGCGAGGAAAAAGGCAGAGCATTATTTCCGCCATCATCCAACTGTCCATAACTTAAATAAATTTAAAATACTCAATGCAAAGGCGCGTCGTACCTTTAAACAAAACAAACGACAATCTTGGAGAAATTATGTCTCCAAAATTAATTCGCGCACGCCAATGTCTAAGGTTTGGAACATGGTTCAGCGAATAAAAGGCAAAGGTTCAAAATCAGCTGTACACCATCTTAAAGATGGTGATAACTTGATAACTGATAAATCTGACATTGCAAATAAAATTGGCGAAACCCTTGCCAAAAATTCATCATCGGCAAATTATGTCCCTGAGTTTCAGAGATATCAGAAACAACAGGAAAAGACAAAACTTAATTTCGAATCAAATAACGGTGAAGATTATAATGAAGTGTTTTCATTACATGAGCTACATACTGCTCTTGAGCAAGCTCATGACACTGCAGCGGGTGATGACAACATACATTACCAGCTACTGAAACACTTACCGGAACCATGTCTGATGACTCTTTTAGATATATTTGACCAAATATGGACGTCTGGAGAATTTCCTCCTTCATGGCGTAATGCCATTGTAGTCCCAATACCAAAACCTGGCAAGGATCATACAGATCCGTCTAATTACAGACCAATCTCTCTAACTAGCTGTGTCTGTAAAACCATGGAACGTATGGTGAATAATAGATTAACTTGGTATCTTGAAACCAATAACCTTATAACCAATATTCAATGTGGTTTCAGGAAAAATCGAAGTACCATTGATCATTTGGTACGATTAGAATCCTTTGTTAAAAATGCAATCGTAAATAAACAACATGCCGTATCGATATTCTTTGATCTCGAGAAAGCTTATGATACGACCTGGAAGCATGGCATTTTGAGGGGATTTACATGACTTTGGTTTGCGAGGCCGTTTGCCTCTTTTTATATCACGGTTTTTGAAAGACAGACAATTTCAAGTCCGAGTGGGTTCAACCCTGTCTGATCATTACAATCAGGAGCAGGGTGTCCCTCAAGGCAGTATTTTGTCTGTCACTTTATTTAGTATCAAGATTAACAGTTTATCCAAGGTTTTAAACGATTCAATTGATGGATCACTTTTTGTGGATGATTTTAACATTTCTTGTCGTGGTAGGAATATGTATACTATTGAACGGCAATTGCAGTTGTGTTTAAATAAAATAAATAAATGGTGTCTTGAAAACGGTTTTAAATTTTCCAAATCCAAAACTAATTGTCTACACTTTTGTAGAAAATATAAACCGCATAAAGATCCAGAACTATCTTTAAATGGCACTCCCATCAAAGTTGTTAAGGAGGCCAAATTCTTGGGTCTAATTTTCGACTCCCATTTAACTTTTTTGCCACATATTAAATCACTGAAAGCCAAATGCCTGAAGGCACTCGATTTGTTGAAAGTTGTTTCCAACTCAAAGTGGGGAGGGGGGATCAAGCTACCCTCCTCCACCTGTATCGATCATTGGTCCGCTCGAAACTTGATTATGGCTCCATCGTATATGGTGGGGCCTGTAAAAGCAACCTCAAACTACTTGATTCTATCCATCACCAGGGTCTCAGACTTTGTCTTGGGTCTTTCAGAACCTCTCCAATTGACAGTCTCTACGTTGAGGCCGATGAGCCATCTTTAAAACTTCGCCGTATCAAATTGTCCCTACAATATATCACAAAGTTATATTCTAATGAATCCAATCCTGCTCACACTTGCGTTTTTAATCCTCTTTATGAGGACTTGTATAATAAAAAACCTTCACTTGTTCCACCTCTTGGGATAAGAATCCAACAATATATTTCTGCTGCTGGCATTGAGTTGGAGAATATATCTCCTTCCGTCTTCTTTCTTCTCCTCCTTGGCAATTGGTTAGGCCACAAGTTGACCTAACATTAACTACATTTAAAAAATCAGAAACAAATGAATTACAGTATAAACAAGAATTTAGTCAATTAAGAAATAAATATAATACATACAAATCCTTATTTACAGATGGGTCCAAGGATGGTGGCGCAGTGGCATGTGCCACTGTCATTGGATCCAGAACAATATCTTCTAGAATACCCGATAACAGCTCTATATTTACAGCAGAAGCAAACGCCATATTAACGGCTCTTAAATATATTCAACGACATCCTAAACATAAACAGTACGTAATCTTTCCGATTCCCTTTCATGTCTTCAGGCTATTAAAAATATTTCTTGTAAACATCCACTTTTATTAGACATTATTGAATTGTATAATGAGCTTGCTACTGGCCAGTGCGACATCGTCTTTTGTTGGTTACCCAGCCACGTTGGCATTTCTGGGAATACCATGGTTGATCTTGCTGCCAAGGCAGCACTCAACAAATCTGTGACACCACTTCTTATTCCATATTCTGATTATAAAGCTGGCATTAGAACTTATATCCGTGATCTGATGCAGAAGAAGTGGGACACCCAAGTAGGTATTAATAAATTACATGAAATAAAACCCTACATTGGTTATACCTACTTGGGTTGTCAGTCCAGATTTGAGGAGGTTATTATGCGACGATGTCGCATTGGCCATACGCGTTATACTCACAAATACCTATTGAAAGGTGAGGATCCTCCGTTTTGTATCCCTTGTGTGAGAGAACCACGGTCAAGCATGTCCTGCTTGACTGTGTTGAATTCTCCATCATAAGGGATAAATATTTCAATGTAAAACAATGAAGGATCTTTTACAAATGTTAATTATCATTTAATTATTAGCTTTTAAAAAGAAATTGATTTAATGATTGAATTTTTGATTAATATGTTCTGTACATAGATGTATTTTAATTATTGGTAGATTTGATTAGTAACTTAGATTGTGAGTGGCAGTGCACTCAAAGGGGTTGAAGTAGCGTAAAATTATTGTCCTCCTGAGAGGGTACGTAAGTCCCAAAACATTCAAAGTAAAATTTCAACTTACTACTCTTTTAATCGTAGAATATATGTTCGTTTAATTCATGGCTAGATTATCTGACATTGCTAACGGCTGAAGGGATGGTGTAAATCCAGCTAGGGTCCATGCAGGAAGCAAATGTACTGTAAGTCCCCATGGTCCCTAGTATGGTGATCTACCTTCAGTTGTTAGCGATCTATAGCCCATTTTATATTGTGTTGTCCCCATAGTTATAGTGTTTTAGATTCAATTACTAGTTTTACATATATATCTGTGATAATCTAGTTATTCTACTGTCCTTCGTTGGCAGAATTTTATAATTTCACTTAAATTGTTGATATATTTAAAACTTGCTTTAGTCACGATATGGCTGAAATATTGCCGATGTGACTTAAAATCTTAACTCACTCACTCACTCACTCTGTACTAGGTTGTTTAATTCACGTATATTTGGTACAATACTTTATGACAAGGTATATACATGATCATCGTTACACGAGACAAAAATACAGATGTAAACAGTAACAATGTAAGAATGAGCATACCACGACGACGCATTAAAAGGTATATTTAATCAAAGCCAATTTGAAACTAATGAATATACGTGGTATTTGAAAAATATACTTTGAAGCTGTCGAACAAATGTGGAAATATTCAAGCAGTAAATTAATCTATTAAATCTCAAATTACAGATATTTTTCAATCGATAAGCATCATTTGTGACCATAATCAAATAAAGAAGTAATTCAGATAATACTGCAATTGCTTCAACGATATTGTATTTTTGAGACATAGTATGTCTTACACACCTCAGGTTTTCTAGTGATAATCGTCAGTTGTCTTCTCTCGTTATTAAGCTATATTTTCCATATTATCAGGAGGCGGAACAGCCAGGTATGCCTACGGAGAAGCCCTGGCTAAGTCCATTCTGTTCTATGACGCTCAGAGGTCAGGCAAACTTCCGGCTAACAACCCCATCCCCTGGAGAGGAGACTCCGCCCTGGGAGACAAGGGAGATAATGGGGAGGACCTCACTGGAGGATGGTATGACGGTAAGTAGAAACGTTCAGATTAGGGTACATTTATTCTCATGACACAAGTTCTTACTTAAAAGTGCAAATTAACGTGATCGTTTTCGATTTATTTTCTTATATTAGATACTACAAATTTTATAACACTCCACGTTACAAAGATAGACTTGAAATATACATAAGGTTTATATTTCAGTAATATCAAATGGCCATACCCTGTTTATGTATGGGAAAAGAAGAGGGTCGAATACTTAAAGGATTGGCATGATACTAATACAAAGGGTGAGATGGTGCCACTTTCTATTCCAGCTGGTGACCACGTCAAGTTCAGCTTGCCAATGTCCAGCACTTCCACTGTGTTGCTCTGGGGCTACCTTCAGTGGAAAGATGCATATGCTACAATGAAACAGACAGATATGTTCTTTGATATGATCAAATGGCCACTGGACTATTACCTCAAGTGCTGGATCCCCAAGAGTCAAACTCTTTATGCTCAGGTGAGTTTAGCCTGCAAAGAGTAGAGATCCCGTAATCCCACGTCCACTAAATTTAATGATTCCCGAGAAGAGATGACGTAAGAGGTGGCTGGGTGGGTTGCGTGGACAACTATGGCTGACTACGCGTTACCGTACCGCTTGAGTTACAAAAGAATACTGCTGTCATGATTTATTTTTTTAAATGATCCATTCATATAATTTATATAGATGATACATATTTTGTCTGTTATTTTCCTTATGACTGCTTCCTGACAAATATGATCCATTTTACGATCATAATCTGCTTTGCTGATTATCGAGATTTATGACATTCAAATTACCGTATCCATTCATGTATTCATATTTAGTTTCTGGTTTTCCTCAAGGTTGGAGAAGGCAATGACGACCACCACTTCTGGGGCCGTGCTGAGGACATGAAGATGGCCAGACCCGCCTACAAACTCACACCAAGCAAACCTGGATCAGATGTTGCTGGAGAGATTGCTGCCTCCCTAGCTGCTGGGTATCTGGCATTCAAACAGAGAGGTGACAATATAGTGTTTAAGTTGAACTAGTTATAAAGCGACACTCATCAAACTCAGTTTTGTTTCCCGGGAGATAAGTTAATTACCTTACGCAAGAAAAGATTAGACAATAAAGACATCAGACCGCAATGGGCCGTACACGTCATCTGATGAACCTTGGGTTATAGATGCTACATACGCTGCTAAACTTCTGTCAACATCCAAGGAGATCTACGAGTTCGGGAAGAAGAATCCAGGGACGTACTCATCGAGTATCCAAGATGCTGGCCAGTTCTACTCGTATGTACTCTTTTACGATCAATGGAAGGCAGTGTTTCGTAGGTTATTCTCTCTAAGCATTGGAACTTTCTATTTAAATAGGCAATATAAAGTTACAGCAAATGTGTAATGTATATCGCTAGAATGATAATGAATGAATTTATAACAAAGGAATTCTGTAAACATTTGTGTGAACATGATCTAATGCTATACTCCAGATCAAGTGGTTATAAGGATGAGATGTGTGAGGGCGCCATGTGGCTGTACAGAGCAACAGGTGACAAGTCTTACCTGGCCGATGCCAAGGGTTACCACGAGAATGCCTGGGCGTGGGCTCTAGGATGGGACGACAAGAAAATCGCTTGCCAGGTGATATAATGTGTTTACAGGCAACTCATTCATGAGACATATCTAGTTGGGATCGCAATATTGTGCTCCTGAATCATCTAAGAACTATTAATTTTACAGGTCACGTGTTTCTCAAAAGCAAAGTGTGGTAACGCTAAATCTCTCTTCCTGTTACGATATGGCAACGAGAAAACTCGATATTTTACGGGAGCTTTCATCATTTGCTGCCACTTACAATCTCAACATAAACTCCCCTCATATTGAAAATATGGAAATTATGTTTGAACTTATGAAACTGTGAAATATATTTAAAAAATCCGTATAGTATGGAGAACAAACAGGTCATAGCGTTATTGGCATGGTGTGTGTTTACATGTGATGGTATTAGGAGTTGTGCTAGCAAAGCTGTTTTGACAGTATGATTTATTCTGTTATAGAGACTGAGATCTGGATACATTGAAATACAATATCCAGGATTGTGTATAAAAGTGCTTGAACAAATTATTTGGCTGAAACGAAAATGTTTAGTTGGTTCGAAGGAGCTTAACATAACAAAGATGTCATTCTGTCGACAGCAAAGGAAGGAAGGAGAAAGAAAGTTAAGCATATATAGCAATGTATGTAAATCTCATGGTAAAGGGAAGTACAATAGTTTAATGGATATCAGTGGCAATGATTGAGGGTCACATTGTATGTCTTCTGTAGAGCTTGTTAGGACGCTACACAAAGGATCAGACATGTGATTGTGACATCAAGGACGATTCCATTTCAGCTGCTCTTGTACGAGGCTACCCGTGACACTGCTTACAAAACAGAAGTGGAGGGTTTCTTCAAGGGCTGGCTCCCTGGTGGCTCCATCACCTACACTCCATGTGGACAGGCGTGGAGAGACCAGTGGGGATCCAACAGATATGCAGGTTCATATCAACCTTAAAGCATTCAGGGAAAACCTTGGGTCGCAAGGGAGTGAATATGACATACCAATGCATACAGAATATCCTTATAACGCCATTGTTGGATAAACCATCGTGCCATTCATCTGATTCATTTTGTTTCATTTATGTTGCTTTTGTTTTTTGCCATGCATTTACTCTCTACACAAACCGGTATGTGTTGATTATTTGTTTAAACATGAGTTCAAAATACACCTGATTCATAGTTTCCTTCCTTATGTTTGTTTTTCGAAAAATTTTTTCATTTTTCATCTTTGGCATATATTCATACAAATCCTTGACAGACCCACAGTGCGGAGAATTTCATTCAGTAACATAAACAGATATTGAGTAAATATCATTATATTCTCAGGTGATGCAGCATTCGTCGCTCTGGTGGCTGCCGATGCTGGTATTGACACTGCAACCTACAGGAAGTGGGCAGCTCAACAGATGAACTACATCCTCGGCGACAACAACTACGGCATCAGCTACCAGATCGGCTTCGGCTCCAAATACCCGAGGAGTCCTCATCACAGATCTGCGTGTGTTAACTTGATTATTATATTTCCTCCATATATGCCTGATTAACATATCCAAGTCACTACATAATCATGTAATACAGTTTACTTCCAAGGTAAGGTGTTAAACATGTCTATAATTGAGTTTAATGTATTCTAAGGAAAAACATCTTTGGTGTTCAGTACCTGCACGTCGTCATATAAGCGAAATATACTAATGGTTCGGTGTTTATAAAACATTCTCTAGAACCATGAACAGATGTATACAAAGTCTTCTTCCTGCACAACTCTCTGTACGTCTTTGTCCACACTCCAGTTCCTGTCCCGACCGTCCAGCTCCCTGCACAGAGGCCAACCTACACTCTTCCGGTCCCAGCCCCCAGCTCCTTGTGGGCGCCATAGTGGGAGGTCCCGGTAATGATGACTCCTACAAGGACAACAGGGAGGACTACGTCCACAACGAGGTGGCCTGCGACTACAACTCAGGTTTCCAGTCTGCTCTGGCTGGTAAGTAATAGTATGTCGACTTAGGTGGGATATGGAACCAGAATGATATGCGTTGAAGTTCAGATACATTTGAAGCCTGGGGGTTCAATATGGCAATTATTTCCTGTTATGTTCTGGTAATGCAGAGACATACTTGTAATAGAACGTATATTATAAGAAACAGTTATGATGTTTACCCATTTATCTGATTGGTATGTGTTTGATGGTTACTTTCTAGATTCGCATTGTGGATGGAATGTCTTGTTAAATACCCAAGCTATGAAGAACGTTTATATGATTACTGTAGGTGAATAAACTGCATAGCTAATGATTGTAAACTGATGTTGAATCCAGATTCAGATTCGAGAACTAAGAGAAACCTTCTGTTTTAGGTCTTACGCATCTTGTCGCCAAGAAGGAACTGCCTGATGTTGGTAAACCAAAATGCCACGGGTAAACACTATTGTATTATAATTCTAAACAGTCACCATTAATTGCAACAAAGCACGTTATGAAAAGTAAATTTCACTAAATTATATGAGTGTTATCCGAAAGAGTGTGTGTGTGTGTGGGTGTGTGTGTGTGTGTGGTGTGTGTGTGTGTGTGTGTGTGTTCAGTAAGTGGAGGGCTACTCAAGTCACAGTTTCTGTTCATCTGGTTCAGAATTGTTCTTAAGCAAAACAGAGCCAACTAACAGTATCGGGTGTCAGGCTCGCTGACTTGGTTGATGCATGTCATTGTATTGTAATTGCGTAGGTAGATGATCATGTCAGTCACTGGTATACCTGAGTGAACAGGGACACAAACAAACGTCGGACAATACAAAGTCATTGAAACGTCAAAGCATTACATCTCAGAACTACTTCATTGTGTAAATGTTAATCGTATCTTGTTTATTGTTATTGATGCTATCCTCCAGTTCGATCTCATTGTAAAACACAAATGGTAGCTTAGGATAAATTATAACAGAATAGATTATAACGTCCATACTTACTTGCTACAGTAATGTGGATTAGCACATTACCTTATTTAGGTAAAGGATAGGTGTGAGCTCTATGCTTAGTGGAATTCATCCTAAACATTCATCCTAAACTTGAATTTGTTTGAGAATTATGACATTATATTTTCCTCACTTTGCAGGTCGTAAACACAGGAGTAAAGATGGGGAAGTTTGCACAAGTTACACAATACTGGTCAATAAAATTAACTTTTTCATACATATTTCTTTCATTGTCATTTTTCTTGTGACGCTGTTTCTCAAAAGGACTCTTGCAAAATACCAAAAATCAACTACTGCATCAACAGAATCCGTCGAGGCCGATTGCATCAACAAATTTTGCCTTTGGGTTTTGGCAATTTCCGCTGACAGAACGTGCCAAAAGGGTCTCAACGGTTGTGGCTCCAAGTGACATTTCATAAACATAAATTATGATGTTTTGGGTCAGGAACGCCCAAACCGCCTTCTTGTTTCAATGACATTGAAGCCATGTTTGAGGGGTTGAAGACTACAGAATGATAGCATTGCTCCAGGACGAACACTGGACAAGGATCCGTGGCATCTTTGATTGACTCACTGAAGTCACGCTGAGTGTACATTTAGAGAAATGCAATTGGTAACTTAATAATTCAAAACGAAACTGATGGGACTTCAGCTATGGCTGGTTTCAAGTGTACATTTTGGCAAAACGCACATGCGGCTCTTCTCACTGTTTTGCTTTACAAAAGGCTGCAATGTATTTTGAACAGAAAATGTCAGACTGCCTTTTAGACAATGTAAGTCTCTCTCAAGAATTCTCCTGAACTCCAAGCACCAAAGTATGAAATATATGTGGGATTGTCAGCGGATGTAATGGCATTAGTGATGGAGCTGTCCTGTTGCAAGGAGAAACATCAGGGTTCATCATCCGGTTTTGTAGTCTTCTCGAATCAGATAAATTACGCCACCTCTCAACAACAGAGAGTCTTTTGTTAAAGGGCCACTGATCCAGAGCGATTAATGTTTCTCGCCAACAGTCTAATTACGAAACCAAGCTGCAGGCTGGTCGGTACCTGCTTCGACTTATAGTAACGGGGACTGGGTTACTGTCCACCTTGGCAGAATTTTCTCAACCTGAACATTAGGAAGAGTGGATGCCCGTTATTTGAAAATATTCCCGGTAGTTCTTGTTTGACTGTGATAAAGAATCCCAGCAGTGTAAACATTTTCAGATTTTCTAATGCCGGGATGGTATAATGACTGGTCCAAGTTTGATTCTAATTCTGTGTTTTTACCTCGATATTTAATCATGTCATGTACAAATATGATGTTTATTACCTATGCTATGATATTAAAGGGGCACTGGTCAAAAGCGATTAATGTTTCCACCCAACAGTCTAATTACGAAACCTAGCTGCAAACTGGTCAGCCCCTGCACCCTCGACCGTGACGGACACGGGGACTGGGCTACTGTCCACCTTGGCAGAACTACTTCAACCTAATCAGTGGGACATTAGGAAGGCTGGATGCTCATGAGATGCCGTTATTTGAAAATATGATATCTATTACGTATACTATGATATAAAAAACACACATTGGATATATTTGAATCCATAAACTAAACAACCCCACTTTGCCATTGCTAAAAAAATCTGAAGTTTTACTTAGGTACATAGGTATATACAGTTTTTAACTAATTACACAGCAAATGCTTATATATATTTCTTATGTAACAATGAAGTTCCGTTTGTATCATCAAAACAGTGTCGGCCCATAAGTTGTTATTTTTCAGGCATGTTATTTGTCATCATTCACTTGATGGTCAATTAATGAATTTATAACAGGTATAATTAGTGGTAACACCACGCAGATTACCCGACAAAGGTTCCCATTTGGCATTTCTTGTGTCTGGAGTAAAAACTCATCATTATACATTGAGGTCTGATGTGGCAAATGTATTACATCTTATGTAATATGTGCATGGAAGTGCAGCAAGAGGAATTATCAGCTGAGTTACAAAACAAACATCGATCAAAGGATTAACCGATAACACGCTGATTGATTAATTGCTTTTATCCTGCACAGCGGATTTGTCAAAAGGTAGTGTTTATGTATGTAGATTTATTAATCTATACTGAATACACCCTGTCGTAAAGTCTCTTTGTAAAAACAACGTCCTTTCTTCAAAGGATTAACGCCAATACATTGATTGATTGCTCATTATCTGCTTAACTAACTACTTGTTTAAAGAATGGCGGACATTATGCAATTAGTTGCCAGGTGTGCTATCTTGGGTGACCAATCAGACTCTACACCAATGTGAAAAACCTGAAACGATATATCACTTTTTCGCATATTAGACTGTTACAAGACACATGAAACGGAGCAAGATTCTTTGTCAGCTGAAGGTGAATGGCATGTCGTTCCTTTATGTAAATATTAATGGATACATTCCTCGAACAAGATAGGATAGCCTGACATTGTTGATGTTACTTTAGTCTGTTTGAATTTTAATATTTGCATTTTGTTTTTATTCATTTCTTGTAGCATTATACAGAATGATTTTTTGTCGCCGTGAAGTGTAATGAGACAGACAACATACATTAAGTCGTACTTGGGTCGTGTGTGTGAAATAATATATAATCGTCGTTGGCAATCTATAAAATGTCTAGATATTACAGTCATGTTATAAATTCACAATAAGTATAAGCAGGTCGTGTGCATGTTATTAAGTTTCAAAATGCATACAAATATGATAATAAACTAATTAGGATTATAAGACAAAATGTAAAGACGTACATTGACTTCGTTATTTTTCAGTCCTAACATATTTCACCACTGGTAGATGGTTAAACTTCAAAATGTTTTCATTTGTTATCAAATTAATGAAGATGGAAATATTATCGAGTAAAAAAGATTTCCTCTTTGTTGATCAAACTATACTAATACCATCAATTGCGCATGCGGTTAGCGCAGCAGAGGTGACGAACCAGTCAAGAACTCTGGGATATCATCCGGGTACTCACGGGAGAAAAACAAAAGCAACAACCAGTCCACGGAAATTGCTCTGGATCAGTGCCCCTTTAAATTGGCAACAGTCTGGGATTTACTTTGTTTCCTATTTAGGCGCACACCGATCACAACTGTCGAGAAATAATTTCATTTAACTGCTTTGAGCCAACTGCGAGCTCATTTCCATTTACTTATTTCGAGCGCTTCTTAATAATGATTTAGAGGTTTCGTTTTGGATGGTCCGGTTAATAATCCGTACCGGAAGTGAGGAACTTGGGAGAAACCGCATGCGGTCAAGAGAGTTACAAAAGAAGTAGTATTCGTGACCAACTAGTGTTATTCCGGGACAAGTCGAATAGCGACTCGTGCCCCTCTGGAAGGATTACATATTTGCATATGAACATGAGAACTTTTTAAACAAGAACGATAACTCTATTTCTGTTTGATTCCAATGGTACTTAATACCATCGAGGAACTCGTACATTGTATTGCTGTTTTTTGTTTTTACATTTTTATTTCAAAGAATTAAATCTCTTTGATACAACTAAAAGAAGGAGAAAACATATTTGTTAAAGACATATTCTAATTTAATCATTACCAGCTGTTCACCTTATCCCCAATTATATTAATTTTCTAAATAGGGTTTGATAATCAGAAATGGGAATATTTTTTATTGAATATACACATAAAATAATCTTCTTTTCAGCTACATTAAATCCCAAAGCAGATACTCAAAATGGACTTTAAAATATTTCTCAAACTGAACATTCGTGTAACCTTGCTGTCATTCCTCTTTTTAAATGAATTCGCTGAAAAAAATATGAATGACCACGCAAAAGTCAGACTAAAACATCCACAGAAATGTGAAATATAAGCCCAATGTTAAAGTTAAAGTTGGTAGGTTACATGCAGATATAATGTTATTGTTTTGAAACTAGTAGCGATTAATAATTACATTTCCTAAAATTGCTGGAAGCGCACGTACAATCTCCAAAACAAGCCCACAAAATCGTCAGAAAATACACTCGATTATGCTAAACCGGTTTTGGTTTCTGAAAAACCATGCACTCGATTTTGTCGAAACCTAAAACTGGGTTCTGAAACTTCGAAACCATCTCCGAGGCAGGTTTCGCCGTTTCGGTTTTGCGTTCTCTCACAACAAACGTGGCGGAAACGAAGTTCAGCTGATCTTGGTGGCAAAATAGAGCAGCAGTTTCTGTAACCAAAATAATGATAAAAATCAACCGAGAACTAGGAAAATATTATTTAAAACCCCAGTCTATTGAACATGTCTATTTGATGTAACTTTTATACATATAATTACTTGTAACAGTATAATTACATATACGCAAATATTTACCTCCAAAAGCATCTCATCTCTTTATTACTGTTAATTTCCTGAAAAATTGCAAAAAATATTACCTTCGGCAATGCTGTCATTCGATTCGTTCCACAGATATAGTAGCTGAGACATCTATACTGACGGGCAAAAGAAACTTTCTCCTCGTTCAATTTGATCTCACTTAAAAACAACAACAAGAAATCGAAGTTTGCAATTTATAATTTGTGAAGCAATGACATAGGCACGTGCTAAGTACAAACGTTCGATTTTAACAGGGCTGATAACTTCTTGAACAGGTTATGGTCGACATGGGGTAAAACAAGAGAATTCACGATCAGTGGGTTCATTCGGGAAACACAGCAAAGCGTGAACAGAAGTCTCTAATAGCGCGGTTTGTGCACCTCTGGATAGAATACATGCTATCACACGTCTTCTGACTGAAGTTGTGTGGCGTCTGATGAAGTCAGCTGGTATTCGCCTCCATTCTTCTAGAAGGGCTTGAGTCATTTGTTGTACTGTAACTGGTGGATTCTGTCTCCGTTGAATGACTCTATCAAGGTGGTCCCATACGTGCTCGATTGGCGACATGTGAGGAGAGCGTGCAGGCCATGGCAGGACGCTGACGTTGTTGGCGTGAAAGAAGTTCTGTACAACTCGAGCGACCATGTCTGTCTGTCAGCAGCGTTCCTCGGTACGGTCGGTAGGCCCTGATACCATAGTCCCGTAGTCTCCTTGACACTATCCTTCGACTCACTGGGATGACCGAGTGCTGTTGACACTGATGACGTCACCGTCAGGGAGCGGTTTCTAAGGTGTAACGTCCTCAGGAGGCGGTCTTCCTGCGCAGTTGTCACCCGGGGTCTGCCTGTCTGGGGCTTGTCTGAGGT